GTAGCTTTATGCTTAATTACAAACAAACAAAATACAATCTAAAAAATCTGAGTTTATTTAAACTTTGGCAACAATGTTGTTTTCAAACAGTTTTCCATTATATGCATTAGTTTGTTGTTTTACACTGATGTAATAATGAAATCAGGCACTATTCTAACAAATGCTCAAAGACCATTTTATAAATTACCAGAATAAAACGAACACCATTATTTAAAGTTGCTACTAAAAGCTATATACGTGTAATATCTAGTTACCGTAGCTAATCACGTTCACTCACTGCTTGGTTTTAATTGTAATGAAACAATTTTAAGAATGATATACAAATAAGCTCATCAGGTAAATGCTTTTTCTAACACAGATTTGGTACTTAAGAGTCCAGATATAAATTACAGTTGATTTAAACATAAGTGACTAAAGTCGGGCCATAAACTTAATTTTTTTTTTTAAGAGTTTACCCCAACTTCCAGAAGATTCTGCAGCTCTACTAAAAGCTGTTCAACAAGCTGAAGATTTCCTAAGGAAACGGTGTCTAGGATATAAAGTTAATGCAAGGCAGTTTTTTGGGACACAAGAAGAAGGTAAGAATGTCAGTGAAAGTAATGTTTTAATGGCTTTTGAGTTGGATTAAAGATACTATAAATATAAAATATAAAAGTATTACAACCTTGCACGGTGTGTTCCATACTTTTCACTTGTATTTATTTCATATAATTTTTGAATATATTATAGCATTGTAACAGGTTCACTCACTTTATTTCCTGAAATAACAAATTCCAGATAATTTTATGCTATTAATATGTATAGTGTATTTTACCAGTTTGTAGCTTCAGTAAATTTTTACCATTTGTTAAAACTTCAGCAATTACATTTGAACATTTAGATGTTTAGTTCGTGTTTACGGAAATATTTCTGGCCCATACGTTTGTTCAGTGCAGGTAATTGAAAAAGGGAGAAGTAGGATTATTTCATGTATTTGATTGTGTTATGGGAGCTTATTAAAACTACATGGAACACAAATGATACTAGAAAATGGAACTCTTAGAATTATTCTTAAGGATGCGTGTTATAGAGAACTAAAGTCTCATTATCTCTATGAGAAAATGCGACAAAAGTTTCAATAATGAAAGGTATAACACAGAAAAAGAACAATATTTTTATATTTTTTAATTTTCCAGACTCTCTTTCAGAAGTTGGAAGCACAGTTAGTGGGACAGGAGGTGAAAACTCCATGGACAGCAAGGTTTCTGAACGACTGTCACCATCAATTCAATGTTCATCTCCTTCTCCATCATTAGAAAAAGAGACTACTTGTACAGAAACTAAAGAGGACCCTGAAAACCAGTCTAAACTCAGGCATGCTTGGCTTATCTTTGAAAGTAGAAGATTGTAACATTTAAATAGTGATTTTCTAGTGAAAGTTAAAAACTCGTATAAAATATTACTATTTTATTAAACATAAAAAAATGCAAAAAGTATTTTAGTTGTTGTCTTTCAGACAAAGAAAACTTTAAAAAGCGGTTATTTTCACCTAGGTAAAGTATAAATTACTCTTTAACATATCAAACCAAGAATATACTTTAAGAAGGTGTTTTTTTTTTCATTTCAAAAATTAGAAAATGATCAAATTGTTCTTGCGTGAACTTTGAAGGATGTAATGTGTATCTGTTAGAGAAGTATTGGCTTCTCCTGCATGTTAACATTAAACTATGGAAACGGAGAACACAAGCTGAAAGTTAGTGTATATAAACAGATTATTAGGCCAGGGAAATAAATAGAATCGTGATGTCATGCTGAAAGTAAGGTTCAGTCAACATTAAACTATGGAAACAGAGAACACAAGCTGAAAGTTAGTGTATATAAACAGATTATTAGGCCAGGGAAATAAATAGAATCGTGATGTCATGCTGAAAATAAGGTTCAGTCAACATTAAACTATGGAAACAGAGAACACAAGCTGAAAGTTAGTGTATATAAACAGATTATGGAAATAAATAGAATCATGATATCAAGCTGAAAGTAAGGTTCAGTCAACATTAAACTATGGAAACAGAGAACACAAGCTGAAAGTTAGTGTATATAAACAGATTATGGAAATAAATAGAATCGTGATGTCATGCTGAAAATAAGGTTCAGTCAACATTAAACTATGGAAACAGAGAACACAAGCTGAAAGTTAGTGTATATAAACAGATTATTAAACTAGAAAAATAAATAGAAT